AGATCTAGACTCATTAGAATATGCGGAATACTGTGATACTGTCTCCCTAAATTGGATTTTCAACTAGGGATGTACGTCCTATTTCCGTTTATTAATACACTCCTATGACCTTAATCAAGCATACAATGTACGTTCAAGGCGTATTCAAGTTCCATCAATAATGTATTTAGGAGCTAGTGCTAAACATTTAAATATTTAATATACTAATGACCTTCAGATAACATAGGGTTATTTATGCGTGCTAAATAACCTGCTGATATTTTATCAGGCAATTTGACTACAATCCAACACGTCACGAAAATGATAGTAAGAGTACTATTGAAAATTAATCCATAGATCAGGAAGTAAAGTAAATATCTTCGCAGAACAATATGCCAATTTCTTCCAATAAGGACATTTTGAAGTTCCAACGAATGAAAAACCCTTGTAATAAATGTCCATCAGGAAAAAAGTGTACCAAAAGAAAAAGGAAGAAAATTGCATCTAGGCTGCCGGTATAGTTTCCAGGAATGAAAAGAACAGCTAAACTGAAATTATGCACGTTTTTTTATTTGAATCATTTTCATATACAACCTGTAATTATTGTTTAAGTTCAAAATGTATTGATCAATATCGAAATTATTGCTATACAACATTTCTTATTAAAACACAATAGTACTACACTTGCAATGTCATTTACATTACCTTGTTTTCACAATAAAAAGTGAGTAACAGTTAATCCGATATAGTAGTAACATGCTTATGGTAGCGGAAACAACACCTACAACGTTTGAAAACAAACTGTCGAAAAAGTGTGGGAATTAGTAGCGTTATCTTTGTTGCCTTACTCTTAAGACGTCACACTTGACGATAAACCTGGGCGCAATTTTCAATAGGCTACTCAACACTAGACTTTCCGCTATAATTTGGTAAAAGATACGATATCGGGTAACAGACGATAATGTAATATATTAATCCTTGCAGCGTAAAGAGAGCCAACTGTTATGGTTCGTAACATGAAACCATACTGATTCGGGGGTTTCAGTAAATAAACGAATGTTCCGATAATCGATTTTTCTGTACATGTTTAAATTTTGGCAAATAGAAGTTCCTATGATGTTTTCTTGTTTCATATTCTGATAAATGTCCAAAAAGTCAATGTCTGTACTGAAAGGATTTTGGCTTCAACAAATTCTTGATTTGTATTGTTATATTTTAACTTTATATTCATTTATTTTTGATTTTGTCATTAACTGGATGACATTTGTACGGACATTTCGCTCCCTTTTCTTAATTTACGATGGTAAGTCTTTGTCATACGCCTCCTTGCCATGTAATTTTGGGTTAGATATAAGGAAATAAAGACTTTAGTGATGACACTTTAATGATATCTTTAAATAAAATATATTTTATTAGTATCTTGATTCAGCACGGTTTATTTGAAACTTCGCTTTAAAATATCAATTAGAGAAGAAAGTCAATAATGTCTATTATTTGCCATAGGCAATTTATCATAAAGATTCCTTAAACAGGAGGTTCAATTTTTGTTGTCGTTTTCATTGGCTAACCATGTTTAAAGTATTTAAAAATATGCTGTTTTAATAAAAACGAGACTAGATTGCAGTTTCTCAACATAAAGACAAATCATAATATCCGCCATCATCGATAGTTGTGGAAAATAAATTTGACCATGTAAGAAATTTAAGATAATGTATGAAATAAGAACAAGGAGCAAAAGCAAAATTCGATTTAGATAGTGCTAGCATCTGCAATATGTACTAGGAAAGTGTAAAATGTACACTGGTTGTTTTAGTTGAATTTAAAGGTTGAATAAATCACACGAATTTAGATTAGTTACATTTCTGACTATATGCTATACACAAACTGTCATCCGGTCAGGTCAATTACCAAGTCTTGTGTAACTGTTAATTTCGCTGAAATTGTCCGAAATGGATCATTTTTTTTAAAGTGTGGCCGATAAGCCTGTTCATCGGCGCCAAATCGTTTCTGACATTCTTTTATACTAATAGACATTGTAGATGTCTTATTGACATTCATATGTATTACACATAGCCAATGAATTTTGAAAACCTAATTTGCCAAGTTTTGGTTAGTCCTGTCGTTGATGCTCTACCAGAGCCCATTTTCTTTCTTTTATCTTTTTGTTTGTAAAAAATTATACAGATTTTTGTTCATTAAGTTTCTTTATTTCAGATACATGTAAGTATAATTTTAACATCCATCACTTTGACAGCGAAATACAAATTTCATACATTAAATATCCATACCAAAACATACACGAAGAATTCAACAGTATCTGCTACGTGAACAAATTGGAGAAATTGTCATCGTATAGACATAAATCAACGTCCATGATAGATAAATCATTATAAAATTGTGAATTTATCATTTTGCAGGTAAACGTTTCATGGATTTGAATATAGGGTCTACGTGATTTGGAAACATATGCACATTTTTAATGGAACAACCGCACAGATATCTTCCTTGGTGGTCATAAACGAACTGCATGCACGAGAACTCAGCAGCAGGTGATTGCCTGATAAGCCTGTCACGTGGGATTATATAAAAGACATCTGTAGCTGGTTGGATATTTAAAGGCGATATAACGTTATGTGTGGATGTGTCTTCCCAATATTATACACCATCATTGATACGCTATCAAATATTTCAAAGGATTTATAACTTTCGATACTTAACTACGGAATGGATTATCATCATCTCCTGACGATTAATACGGAATCAGATTTTTAATCAACGTAATGGATAAAATACAAGTTTCAGTGTGATTTAGATAATGTGTCTAATACTGTGTGTGAACTCCGTGTGTTATTAAATTGGAATATTCAATTTTCCGAGGAATTATGATCTTGGATATATCTGTTGCCAGCAAATTAACGTTGGGATTTATCTTATGAAATCTAGTTTATTCTAAGAAAAAAATGGAAAATGATAACTATTTCAAAGATAGCTTTCGTATTTAAAAGTAAAAATTAAGATCTTAGGAAGGATAAGTTAATGTAGTTCTTAAACATTAGATACAACTGACCACACAAAATCACAATTATAGTCTGGTTTTTTAAAGTGTCGTTACAATAAAAATAGCAGATCTATAGTTTTTATCAAAAAAACTTTTCCAAATAAGGAAAACCGTGAAAATTAAGAACTGCATAATGAAAACGTTAACAGTATACTGTGAAAATCAAAAAAGGAATAGTATATATATATAATATATATATAGGTCTCATAAGTAATAACGAAAGTATGATCCAATATTGGCACTGGACCCGAACAACTTAAAATAGATATGTTCCTGTCTTGATAAAGGGGCAGATCGCCCTGAAATTTTGACACATTTCTTTGTCTGCACTGTCGTCATTACGTCTTTGCCCATAGATAATATATATATGCGTGTATTACTTTTAACGTACAACTTTAAACAAACCCACGATATGCAATTAATGGCAGTTTTGATCTTTCTACAATAAACGGTAATGGTAACATAAATTATCTTCTGCGGAAGAATTGACAGTAGTTTTAAACTATCAATCAACAGTAATTTGATTAGTGGTAGATTTAATTTATAAACCACGTTATTGCAAATTACCAGATATTCTCGTTGAGAAAGTACTGTTGTAAAATTGCAGAGAACCAAAACAAAAAAAGGTGTTTCAGAAATACGCGGACACGAGCAAATTTATTGCTACTGATTTGTTGGAAGACGTTTTTGTAGAAGCATTCCAATACGTATTGTTGAAGAGTTATGTTTTGGAAACTAAAGTTAAATTTTGTAAAGATTGATGACGTAATGACTACGTCAAGTTGCCGCTCTTAAAACATACACTCGCTACGCTGCCATCCATTGAAACGTTTTAATATGGGCATACACTAACAATGATTGCTGCTTTTACGATGACATTATTAAGCTGTTATATATTTAAAGTATAATGTAGAGTTGTAACATATAACAGCTATCGGTTGACTGATTATGAAAAGAAACTAATGTGCAAGAGCGTGTCATGTCTTATACAGGCCAGTTACTCTTTTGATTTGCTTATCATCATGTTCAATAGGACATTTATAAACTTGTTGTGTCTAATGTAAGACTCCCAAGGTGGGCCCCTGTTATGATCGAGTTTTGTCTAAATTCTCTGTTTCATGGACATTGACAGCAAATTTGATCTGATGTACACTTCACAATATTTTAGATATTTTTTATCATTAATTCCTCTTTTTAAATTAGTTATTTAATTTCAAGTAGTCAAATTTTTTTTGCACACCTGTCGTTTACATTTCCTTGTCAGCTCTATGCATCGAGTTACAGACAGTAAAACAATGCCGCTTTCATAATGCCCATAGTGACGTTTATCTAAAAATACAACCATGACGTCATGGTGACGAAATGCTATTTAAATATTACACAATACCGGATAAAACGTTGCAGTTATTTTTGAATTGTCCATTTTGACCATTGGTAATTCGTCACGGGCATTTTAAAATTGGGAACAGTTCTGACATAACATTGTTCAAACAACTGAACAAAGCATTAAAGCACAAACCAAACATCACATAGACAGCAATACTAGTCATGCGTATAGCACTATTATCAAAAAGTCTATACAATAATATGCAATTATGGACATCTGTGATGGTGAATATGATGAGATATAAACCTGAATGTGGGATATTATAATCCGGGGTCTATAACACATTTCTCCTCAACATCTCTTTTTCAGGTTCATATGACATCGTAAAATGCTTCCCTGCTTCGTATTTACCATCACAAAAGCTACAGACTGTTCATTCAAGGTCTTTTATTAAATTAGTTTGTCTATCATTTTTTGTTATATTATAGCGCAGGTTCCTTATTGTACAACTGGGATATACATATACAACAAAAATGGCAAATTTATTATATTTTCCTTGCATGATCAAATGGAATGAAGAAGTTATCTTCTTCGGTTGATTTGGTATTCCAAAATTAAGGGACAGGACCCACTTGTTTATATAGCAGGGAAACTGTTATAGTTGATGGTGACCTGTGCATTTTGACCAGATATAATTGGCCACTGGAAGTTTGGAATACAAAATTCACTGTAACCCAGAACATTGGGTACATGGTTGGTGACATTGCTCTGGTTTGGTAAACCACTAACACATGGCTTCACCTCACTCATTTCAGCATCTAAAACTGCACTTACGGCAATTTCGTTGGATTCACCATTGTCGAATTCGTCGAGTAAGGTGTTCACTTGCGAATTAGGCGGAGGCTGCACAAGACAGTTTCCTAAATGATTTATAACGTCGCTTTTGGTACTCGGAATTTGAGTTTCGGCAACATCAGACGCATACTTCTTCAACTCTGCCATTGGCTCATCTAAACTCAGGCCAATTCCCCGACTTATGGTGTGTGACATGTACCTTTTTGTGTTTACATCCGTATATCCGGTGTAAGTTTTCAAGCTCTGCTCGGACTTATGGCCAGTGACGGTCATTATATGACGGCTTGGAACTTGTGCAGAATCTAAAAGGTGGACAGCCGTAGCCCGTAAACTATGATTAGTATACTTGCGAGATAATCTGTATTTTGTGCTCAAAGTTGTCATAAGTGCGCCGAGCTTGTTATGTCCCATTGGGGTGTTGTCGAAAAAATATCCAGCCTGGTTTGGAGTCCTTCTCACTTTGGGGAAAAGGTAAGGGTATCCAGGAGGCAGTATCTTCACATACATCACCAAAGATTTCACAGGACACCTGCTTTCATCTTCAATAAAATACAAACAGAAATAACATTCTAGTTGTAATGGGGGCCTTTACAGAGGTCCACCAAATTACTCCTGACATGACACATAGTCTGTCGCAAACGCAATTGAATCCAGCAGATGAAATGACGTCCACAAATCGCAAAATTTATAAGCCAATAATTAGACATAAAGTTAACCTAATATATATCACTCTGAAAATGTAGAAATAATGCCTGTTCAATATAATTTTAGTTATAACCGTTCATGTCTCAAGCGTCAGTGTCGACTTAAAATCAACCACATAAGTTATACCCCTATGCATCATTCCCACATAATTTTGAAGAAAGTCTGTCCATTAGAACTTGAGATGTAACCGTAATAATTTCAATCAATCAGTATTGGTAGCATTTTAAAACTGAACATCTATGAAATGACATTAGGAACACCACCATCTATACATATCTACCAAAAAGAAAACAAATAAGAATGTTGGCATAACCAAAGGGACTATCGTATACCTAAAAATTCAAAGTTGATCAGTCGATATAAAAGACGCCCCACTCCCTCCAAGGGAGAATACGATTTATAGTAGGAGCGATAGCTAGGAGTAACATTCCATACTTCGCTAGTGGAACATAATAATTATTTTGTTTTAGGCCTACTTCATTCTGTTAAAAAGTGTGCCACTGTCTTGTGAAAATATATGAACGATATCTAAACAAGATAATGTACTCTGATGATAAATGTTCATATTTAAGAATAGCGTGCATACCTTTGATTTCATACATTCTGCCCTGTGCTGTGTTTGTGTCTGCTTGGTGGTTTTTCGTCAGCTCATCTTTAGTGAGATAGATATATCTCCATCCTTCAGCGTCTGTGGTTGTAGCGAAGTCAGACTTCTTTAGATCCCTAATATTTTCCCTCCCACGGCGACCAAAGTGTAACATTATGTCCACAAATACTTTGCATTGTAATGACTCATGATCGTTGAGTATGAAGGAAGAGTACAATTTTTCCAAATCAACTTTGTCAATTGGTGGGTGATGTTCAATGCCTCCAAGGCCCTGCCTTTTTAGTTCAACTAACATGGCTTGGAACGCTCGTTTTGACTTGGAAAATTCTACGCCATTTATTATATCAAATTCACTCAAATGTCTATTCAATCCGTGTCTTATTGATGTGAGAGTGGACTTTTTGTATAGTTTACCTTTACTTGAGCGGGCTTCCGTGTAAAATTTGGCTAAGGTTGAATCTAACAGATCAGTATCGTAGTATTCAAAGCCAGTATCAAGACTCTTTTCCTTTAAATATGCAAGGAAGACGCGCACTGCGTGTTCGGTAGCCTTTTTTGTATTGACTGAGTCTTTATCTGCAAGAAGTTTCTGAAAATTTGCATTTGTTACAGAGGCAAAACGTTCACCGGTTGCCATCTTTTTTGCTTTCATCTAACTGACTGGTGGCATGTAGTCTAACACACATGCGCTACTGCAAAGATGTAGGAGAGCCCCCTAAAGGCGATATTTAAAAATAAATATTCATCCGAAAACCGGTGTATAAAAGTTTTTGAGGACTGATCACGTGTATAGGATCCAACCAATAAAATCGGCGAAAATTATTAAGTATGTAATAAATAGTTATATCGTTTGAGCAAGTATTAATATGAATTATTCATATTCTTTCAAATGGAGCGAATGTTAATAGCAAAAAGTAAAACATTAGGAAGATTTCGAAAATATCATATTAACATATATTCTTCCTGAATAGACTAAAGAGGTAATAGCTTCACAGGATTGTAATCTTCAGTTTTATTTTATTTTGCAACAATGTTTTCTTCTATAACCATAATAATTTCATTCATAATACTTGTTAAACATAATCAGCTGACGACATTGTAAGATAAAATATGTCTCGCGTATAAAACGTGATTAACCTAACTATGTCCCATTAATAATAAGCTATTAACAGAATATATCGTCTTTGGGTATTTATTTTCGGGAAATTGCATGTTTTTTAATAAAATGTCTGAATAAATTTTATCAATTGTTTATTTTACATGGTATAGCAAGATTCTTTAGCTTTAAAGCAGATATGAAATCAAATATTAGTACAAATAGATCGATCCCACGGAGCAAAACTTCCATGCGAACATACTAGTGACACAGACTTTATGTTTTTAAAACATAGCCTCCGAGTAATACATTTCTAAACTACCAAACATGTTTATGGTACGTACAGACCAAATCCTCTAAAATGTGTAGATTGAGGGGTCCGGACGAACCTGACCGAAACTAAAATGCTGACTTATTGCTAGTTTGCGTTATTTATTTCTAAAACAATGTCAAGTCACATGTAGTTTTTAAGATACGTTTTGTAATTCAGTTGACGCGTAAAAGAAGGGCATAATATTCTTGATACATTGTTTTTTATTCTCCGAAACTGTGCATTTTTAGCTCTGCTTATAGAACGGTCCAAGTGCGTTCGTTTATCGTCGAATATTTCTGCGCCACACGTACCGTTTCAACTGGGATACGCGAATGTAGCCATAACCAAACCTCTACCAAACATGCTGGTAACACAGACTTAAACGTCTGCAAAACATACTTGTAACACAGACCTAAACATAAATGTCTGCAAACCATATTACATTGTAGTGACAAACATTTTCATTGGAGACAGACTTGGAAGATTGTGAGCGTGCAGGAACCATCACCCTACTGAAGAACATGTATTCTTGTGAATTGTACTTACATTAACTTAATATAAGAACATTAATACTTATTATAACACAGGTTTTCCATTTTAGATTTAAACAATCTTATTAAATATAAATAATGCAAAATGCCTCCGCTGCGTGTTTGCTGTGGTTGGCTTAACAACATAACTGTTATTTCAAATATATTTTAAAAGCGTCATAAAAATGTTGGTTTGAATAAATACACATAAATCGTTTCGTAATGCTTAGCTTGCTGAACACGTGTTCACAGCCTACGTTACCACGTGTTTGACCGAGTTTTTAGTTCATGCTTCATAAATATTTCTAAATGAGCAGATAAACATTGAAATCATACTTGTGTTTTCGTCAGCATATCACATATACTACAATGAAACCTCTTTCCCGAAATAAAATACGCATATAATGGTTTACGTTCATTTTGCTCCTTTAAATGATTCATCAAATGTCACCGCTATATAGAATTTCAAAATATGTAATGTGATCATTTGTATTCAGTTTTGCAACAAAGTGTGTTTAAATCATGTGGCGATAATTATATTCTCAAACAAAAACGTTATATTGCATATTTTTTTCTTTATACCTTGAAACCGTTTGTGATTTCACTTATGTGTAGTTCATGCATATTGTTGATACACAGCACGTAATCCTTGAGTGGGCTATATATACTATGTGATATCAGAATGAGAACATTTCTTTGTTCATATTCATGCTTGCTTAGCGTTCGCCGGCGTTATGCTTGTTTCTTTGTTTTCTTATCACTGAATAAAAAGTTAATGAAAGGAGTGACTACACGAGTATCCTAAAGTTTTCAGAACAAAATTTGCATTTTTTCATAAAAACAATGGCCGCCATATTCTTGTTTCTGATTGGTTGACAATTAAAACTTGTGAGAACATGAACAATGTATAAAAAATATTCATTGGGAGATGCAACTTCAGTTACAGGTTTTCCTTTTTTCCCGTCGGATTTTCAACCTGGCAGGAGCAGCCTCTGATTGGTCAATATTGAGATATTGTTGGATTTCATTAAAAAAAAATTGTGTATTTTGGTACCACAAGCTCTATCGTGACTTGCGTTTCTTCATTGGACAAGATGACCGCCTCTGTCTGGCTTCTGAAAAAAATACATTGTAGTTATGATTCGATCTCGATCCAATTTGGTATGAAACTACAAACTACTTTGTGCATTTTCTTTGCTACAGCATCATTTACTACTGCAGGGTTAGTTCGGGGTCGGCCATTATAATCAGTTTATGTAATAATTCTGATTTTTATACGCCCGTCGACGACGGGGACGTATTATGTTATCACGTGAGCGGGCGGGCGGGCATGCGAACGATGTCCGCTCAATATCTCGAGTAATTATTAACAGATTAACTTCAAACTTCACAACAAGGTTAATTACCATGAAAGCTCGGACAAGTTCGATAACCGCCATTATCCGACCATAATTTGTGGAGTTATGCCCCTTTATGGACTTGCCGAAACAGTGTCCGCTCGATATCTCGAGTAATTATTAACGGATTAACTTCAAACTTCACAACAAGGTTAATTACCATGAAACCTCGGACAAGTTCGATAACCGCCATTATCCGACCATAATTTGTGGAGTTATGCCCCTTTATGGACTTGCCGAAACAGTGTCCGCTCGATATCTCGAGTAATTATTAACGGATTAACTTCAAACTTCACAACAAGGTTAATTACCATGAAACCTCGGACAAGTTCGATAACCGCCATTATCCGACCATAATTTGTGGAGTTATGCCCCTTTATGGACTTGCCGAAACAGTGTCCGCTCGATATCTCGAGTAATTATTAACGGATTAACTTCAAACTTCACAACAAGGTTAATTACCATGAAACCTCGGACAAGTTCGATAACCGCCATTATCCGACCATAATTACTGGAGTTATTACCCTTGGTTTCATTAATGCGATGCATGCGTTCCATGATGTTGTATTGCACTCATTGATCTACCAGTTATGTTGAATGATTTCTCTTTTAATATTAATTACTCACAAATACTTCATATATTTCAATCATACAAACAACTGCTCATTCAATGTGTGACGGGCGTATTATATACCGCTCGCGGTAACCTTGTTTTAAAAATAATTAAGACACTGAACTCTGCCGTAAAGATAATATTTGTAGCAACATAACATCCTTTTCGCAGACTTCATTATAGTTAGCACATCTCTATAATGTAAGTATACAGCTGGCTAAGCATGTACAAATCACAACACGCAGTGTGATTACTGTAGAACGCTTCACATTTGATCATCGTATTTCAAACTTTATTTTATGCAAATTTTCAATTATCGAAGCTTTAATTATTGGAATTTTCAACAATTCGAACCTCCCTCTCCTCCCCCTATTTACTGCTGACAGCTAAAATAACAAACATTAAAAACAAAATTTGACAAGTTGGGCGGTAGCCTTCAACTTCTGACATCGTCTGGAGCGTTCGATTATGTATGTTCAATCGTCCAGTTGTCTGGCGCCAGACTAGGTCTAGACTACTGCTTAGGTCGGCGTGATAACCATCGAATATTCCCATGTTTGTTGGTACATAAGAATTTTTTTGGCATATTTGATCTCGTTTTCTTTTAAAGTCATTTGAATTTTTAAAAAATCTACCTTGTTGCCGTAATCCTCCCCTGTTAACAAATACGTTACGTTTCAAATTTCTGCATTGTACTCTTCATTTTGTCATTAAATATGATGAAATGTTATGAAACGTTTCAATGAATGAGGGTGTCGATCTTTTTAAAATAGTTAAACGTGTTGTTACAAAACTACAGGTACCATACCTGTATCGAATGCGAAATTCATTATGAAAGGTGAACATGTATCTGTTGCGTTAAAAAATATGAAATGTTATGAAACGTTTTAATGAATAAGTAATGAGTCAATGCATTTTTTAAATAGAAAATAAAAATAATGTTGTTGCAAATCTACAAAATATGCACCCGATTGCGTGTATGATATATATGCAAGACCACACACTTGTGTTTTTCTAACGAATCAGAAAGCACAAGTTTATTACGCGGACGAATATATATTCACGAGTGCGCGGAGCGCACGAGTTAATATATACGTCCGCGCAATAAATAAGTGTTTTCTGATTCGTTAGAAAAACACAAGTGTATGGTCTTGCTTTTATCAAATACCTTTCGTATTTGTCAGAGATCGATACAAAGATTTTATAAACTTTGATATATTTTGCAAATACCCGAAACTTTTCAGTTCATGAAAAGGGAATTCCCATAAAAAGTAGTTCTGGCTAGTAGGTAAATACAACATTCCGTATTGCACATGTGCAATACAGAACGTTGTATTTCATGGTCTGAGAATTGCTTGTATTACTATAACAAGATTCAACAGGTATGTGATAAGAAGGAAGACACGTATTTATTCTATCGAAAGAACTTTATAGTCTCAGAATAACTTTCAATCTATAAAACACATTAATAATTTCAATGTTCTTATGTCAAATAATCGACTGACAAGATGCTTACCCTACATGTTGTATTCACCTGCATCAGTTATAAATTTTCCGCCGACATATATATTTCAGAATAGTAAATCATATCGTTTTGAATTCTGATATTTATGATTTCGTTTACATTCATGATAGCTAAACTTGTCGCATAGACGTGTCACTTTCCCTTTGATCTAGCTATGGTATAACCAACTTATTTTACACAGTTTTACTAATACCATATGGTATTAGTGAGGCTCCTCCCCTATACTGAATACAATAGAATTCTCCATTCTCATTGGTCAGCCTATGAAAGTGTACAGTGGCCTTTTAGTGTATGTTAATAGGATATCGACACCGTGGGAATTAACTAAATATACAAATCAGGGACAGTATACGTCCCTGTACAAATACAGGAAGTTCAAACACATTGTATTAAGCAA